TGTCTGGACATGTTATACCTTCCAGTCGGGGAGATCTTGTGGACCTAGGGAAGAAGCAAGGTTAGAAACAATGATCCAGAAAATAGTCTATGGAAAAATTTCCCAAACCTTGTAATTCACAAATGAAGAAATTTGTCAAAGTTTTCCCAGTATGGTTATAGTATTGGAATTGCCCATCAGAAGTTGTGAAGTAAAAGAAACATTTATAACTTATCAAATAAAACCATGTCAAAAGAAAGATAATTTTTATTCTTTTTGCATAAATTAGTTTTCAAAGTTTTATTTTTTGGTGAAGAATTGATGAAAGAATTTGGAGCCAAAAATAGTGGGAAATGAGATATTGTGGAACAAGTTCAGTTAACTAGCTAATTAACAAAACATTTTGATGGATTTTATGATGTTAGTTATATGTGTCAGCTTTTTAAAATATAAATGTCACTGTATCTTTTTCTTCTTAATAACAACTGCCTACTCTGTATTTATCATTGTATTCTTTTTATAAATAAATGCTCCAAAATTATACGATTTAAATCCCACAAACCAAATCTGCCCCTGGAGCTGAAATGTGGATTATTTGATAGCATAGCTATTATTTTCATGTTTATGCTATTCAAAGGAGCCAGGTCTCATTTTCTTGTTAAAAACAATTGATAGCAAGTTTTCATTTTATTCCAATTTCTCATTTTATTGCATGTTTTTTCTATATAACAAAAGTGTATTCATATGTGTATGTGTATATATACATATGTATAAATATAACATATAAATGTACTTAGGTTTTTAAAATTCCTCATTCTCTTGTTTGCTCTGCATATATGTATACACACGTATATATACATGCTATGTATATACTATACACACCCATGTATATGAGAAATATTATATAAAATACATGTATGTATATACATTTTTTAAATGTTTTGTTTTATTTAGTTATACATGACAGTAGAATACATTTATGCACTTTGATAAATCATACATAAATGGGATATAATTTCTCATTTTTCTGATTATATATGTTATAGAATTGTATCGGTCATGCAGTCATATATATATACACATAAAAGCAATAATGTCCGTTTCATTCTACTATAATTCCTGTCCACACATCCTCTCCCCCTCCACTCCCCTCCCTTCCCCTCCCTTCACTCCCTTCTAACAATCTAAGGTAGAGGATGTCTGGTAAGTTGTCTATTCTTCCCTAGTGCCCTCCCACTGTGAATTAGCATTCATGTATTAGATAAAACATTTGGCCTTTGTTTTTTGGGGATTGGCTTATTTCACATAGAATGATATTCTCTAACTCCATCCATTTACAGGCAAATGCCATAATTTCATTCTTCTTTGCAACTGAGAAATATTCTATCGAATATATATATGAGATTTTTTTTATCCATTCATCTATTGAAGGACACCTAGATTGGTTCCATAGTTTAGCTGTAGTGAATTGAGCTGCCATAAACATTGATGTGGCTAGGTTACTGTAGTATGGTGATTTTAGGCCCTCTGGGTATAAACCGAAGAGTGAGATAGCTGGATCAAATGGTGGTTCCATTTTGAGCTTTCTGAGGAATCTCCATACTGCTTTCCATAGTGTTTGCAACAATTTGCAGTCCCACCGGCAATGTATGAGTGTGCCTTTTTCCCCACATCCTCGCCAACATTTATTGTTGCCTGTATTCTTGGTAATTGCCACTGGAGTGAGATGAAATCTTAGTGTAGTTTTGATTTGCATTTCTCTAATTGCTAGAGATGTTAAACATTTTAAAACTTTGTCAATATGTACTATCTCCCATAGAGGAAAGAACTTTTGCAGTATATAACAAACTACCAGACATCCTCTAATCTCAACTAATAAGGACAATGCTGTCACTTGTGGATGTCAGAAACCCTACAATGCACAGAAGCCATTATATAAACATATATTAATATTATATAACTATATTAATATTAACAATAAATAAATATGCATATTATTAATAATAAATGCATGGTAATATTAATAACATATAAATATGTGCATTAACATTGTATAAACATATATTGATATTAATAATGTATGAATATATATTAATATTTATATACTGACTTCTCTGCATTGCAGGGTTTCTGACATCCACAAGTGCCCGCATTGTCCTTATTAGCTGAGGTAGAAGATGTCTGGTAGTTTGTTATATGCTGCAAATGTTTTTTCCTCTATGGGAGAAAGTACATATTGACAAACTTTTAATTTTTTTTTTTTTTTGTAAATCAAACCTGACAAATTCAGTATATATTACTTTATAACTAGAAATGTATTCTTTGAGGAAATCATTTGGTCCTGGAACAGTATTTATCACTTGAGAGAAAGTATAACAAACCTCATTAACAACATAACTAAAAGAAAGCTCTACTGATAAAATGTCATAGGTTATTAACACAGGTTAGTAAGGATTGAGTTCTGTGACTGGATCAAAGGATTGAGTCCCCTCTGACATGTGTGGTTTCCTGCTTGGACACCTTCACATGCTGATCAGCTCCTGTCCTCTTAGAGTCTGTACTCAGAACAGAGTTCCTGGGGTGCGCTGATGGTTCCAAAGACATCTGGGTGCTATTGAGTTGACTTGGAGCCCAATAGGAAACGGTGTTGTGATCCCTGAGCACGATCTTCCACAACCAGGCAAGCTGAGCATCAACCACACCCTCATACTGACCGACTCTGCATCTTGATTCCACCCAAGCAGGAGGTTCTCAGCCCTTCAGGAGCGGACCCTTTGGGACACTTGGATCTCTTCATCTCCTACAGTACCTGCACCGAGGCTGTGGTCACAGGAAAGTACTGTTGAAGAGATCCACCTGAACTGTGCTCTATCTTTTCATAATGCCAACCACATTCTCTCATAGTACACTTACTTACCTACTCCACAGGTCTATGTTCTGTATCCTTTTATCAGCATGTATATTTCATAGTCAGGCATTTCTTTCTTTCACTGCTTGGAAAAAAAGTTAACTCATAGTAAACATAAAGTACATATGGCCAATCAATCAATCTATTAATATAAATCTTGTTGATTTACCTCCTTACCCGTTTTGTCTAGAAAATCAGAGTAGAAGGGGAAGAAATGGAACCTATATCAATCACTCCTTGCTTAGTTTCTGCACAGCTTTACCCAGCTCTTAAGTTTCCTCCATGGCCCTCTATTACTCTGCTAAATCACAGCTAGATAAATTTTTCAAATGCCTCCAGACCATGTCTTTGAAATAATATTCCCTAAAATTTTCTTCATAGAAAAGCCATTCTGCATTCATTCTAAATAAGTCACTGAAAGATGGAACTTCCACAAGTTGATTGTGCCATCATTTTTTTTTTACTCCACATTGCAATTTATTTATTTTTATGTGTGCGCATCCAAAAAGAAACAATCTAGACAGAAACTCCAGTCCCAATGTTCCCTTGCCTTTTTAAGATGTTGAGTCCTCACGGTTAGCCATGGACAAGAATGTCACAAGGAGGCTAGAGGGGAAGGGAACTCCAGGAAAGCTGTTATGGTTTGGAGGTGAGATGTCCCCGAAAAGCTCATGTGTGAGACATTGCAAGGACATTCAGAGGTGAAATGATTGGGTTATGAGAGCCTTAACCCAAGCAGTGAATTAATCCCCTGATGGAAGTTCACTGAGTGGTAACTGAAGGTGGGTAGGGTGTGGCTGGAGGGGTGGGCCACTGTGGGGTTTATATTTTGTATCTGGTATGTGGATTCTTCCTTTCTCTCCTCTGATCATCCTGTGAGCTGCTTCCCTCCACCACACACACTTTTCCAGCCCAATGTTCAGCCTCACCTTGGTCCTCCCGCCAGGAGGCTGGCTGTCTATGGACTGAGACTTCTGAAACAGCGAGTCCCCAAACAGTGAGTCCTTCACTACAATTGTTCATGCCAGGTCTTTTAATCACAGCAGCAAAATAAAACTGACAAAAACAAAAGCAAAATCTCATTTCAGGCATATTCATTGTCTGAGCAGTGAGTAGAAGTCCAATAAGTGAACCTTATTTTTTTAAATTTGTTTTAATTAGTTATACATGACAGTAGAATGCATTTATGCACTTTGTTATATCATATATAGATGGGATATAATTTCTCATTTTTCTGAGTGTCATATTGGTCATGTAGTCACATATATACATACAGTAATAATGTCTGTTTCATTCTACTGTCTTTCCTGTCCCCACGTCCCCTCCCCTTCTCTTCCATCACTTCTCTCTACCTAATCTAAGGTAACGCTATTCTCTTCCCCTAGTGCCCCCAACCTTATTGTGAATTAGCATCTGCATATTAAAGAAAACATTCAGCCTTTGGTTTTGTGGGACTGGCTTATTTTGCTTAGCATGTCTCCAACTCCAACCATTTACTGGCAAATGCCATAATTTTACTCTTCTTTAAAGCGGAGTAATATTCCATTGAGTATATATACCACATTTTCTTAATCCATTCACCTATTGAAGGACACCGAGGTTGATTCCATAGTCTAGCTATTGTGAATTGAACTGCTATAAACATTGATAAGACTGCATTATTGTAGTGTGCTGATTTTAAGTCCTCTGGGTATAAACTAAGAAGTGAGTGAATCTTGAAGCATACAAATAAGTGTGTCTCTGACATTTTAGTCTCTCCAGGAAAACTGAACTTATCACTATACATGGTAACTTCCTGGAGATCTCAATAGACATGGACTAATTAATTTCAGATTTCTATTCAGAACTTAGAAACAGACTGAATCACAAGATGTTGAAACTCCTAAGATTTGAGCCTTTGGCTTTTGTACTTCGGAAGTACTAAATGTCAGAGAGAGCTTTGCAATGCTTTGCAGGATTCTTTTAAGAATGTTTACACCAATTCTTTTAAGAATGTTGCATTATTCCCAACATAGCAACGTGTACCCCTGGCAAGAGACAGAGTATCCAGAGATAGAGAAACTAAACTCAGAGTGGCTGTCATCACTGATGATGCACTCCTCACCCCTCCCTACCAGTGTGATGTCACCTTGTCCCTGGAGCCAACCAAGGTTTGCACTGCTGAGTGCCCCTTACTTCTGTTTGAGCTCTTCTGGCTTTTTGCCTTCAATGTAAGGACATTCCATTGAAGCTAACCTTGGGGAAGAGCTCCTTCTGATTAACAAAGGGTGTTTCATTTTCCTCTCCTCTTCTTGCCATGCCTGTGGCACTCAAGTCCCAGTTTTTTAACTCTGATTTTGAGATGTTAAGAATTTGGTCTAGAGATCCACCGCCTCAGAGTTATCTGTACCCTTTGGGAAAGAAAGGTTGTCAGGCTCTGTCTGCTACACAGCTTTTGGAGCAGGATCTCTGGGAGTTGGGCAGGAAAGAAGCAGTTTTTATATGACTTTCCAGATAATGACAGTTTATTTCCCTGGGCACCAAAAGCCTAAGAAATATCTGGGGAAAGAAGAATTTGATTTAGCAATAAGTAATGAGATTCAAATGCTCAGGTTTTTTTTTTTCTGTTTCATCCACAAAAACATGAAAAGCTGTACTGTGGTTTCTGACACTTGTGTGAGCTCACTTTTAGTACAAAGAGCTAATTTCCCCTGTGAGTCTGTTGCAGTGATGGGCTGTTCAGGAGTTTCTATAGAAATCTTTGATGCAAAATAATGTTGAAACTGTCATGTTTTCTTACTTAAGAACCCTGTAAGATCTCAAGATATTTGTAAAGATGTAAATTCTGTGGCTTATGATACATTTGCCTCTTTCTTTTTTGTGTGTGATCGTGTTGAAAAATAAATCTCCGTATGTTTAACTTATGAATAATTCATATCCAGTGGGGGGAAATGTGAAAATAAAAGTGTGCTGATATTTCCATGAGAAAAAAAAATTCTTAATCTCCTGATTTGAAAGTCATAGTATCAGACTTGAAATTCTACAACATCTGGATATTTCTGGCTTTATAATGGAGAAGTTTATGTGTTTATGTAATCTTTCAAATTCAAAATGAAATGAAGTCCATGTTAAATTTGGCTTTTGAATTTAGAATTCATCTTTGAACTTCAAAAAGAGAGATGTTTCAGTTGGGAACTACCACCTGTTTTTGAAAGGTGAGTGAATGGTATTGAAATGAAAAATTGCTGCCTTTATCCTTTTTAAGTTAACCCACCTATTTTAGACTGTTTCAGTACTCAGTTCCACACAGAATATAGAAGGCTCTATTGGGAAAGAAATATTAGTAACAGTGCTAGGTTTGAAAGGAATTGTAAAGCAGGCAAGATCTGGTTTAGGTATCCTCAGCAGCTTCTCAGTACCATTTCCTCCTCTCATCTGAGAAGCCTTCACCTGCCTGCCAGACTAGTCCTAGGATGCTCTCCCCAGGCCTCCCCAGATCTTTCAAAAATTGCAGGGAGACAGGAGGGGCAGGCAGTGGAAAGAAGAAGGGGAGAGAAGAGGCCCTGATGTCCTTCATTTGTACTTTCAATCATTTTGTTCAACATGCTTTAAGTTTTTCCTCCAAAGATCACATATATTAAATTCATGTGGAATTATAAAAACAAACAAAGGATTTAGCATCTTTGCAGGAAGAAGGTAGGATAGGAGGTGATATTTCTTTCTATAAGCAACTTTTGAAGATTTCTTCTGCAATTATTTCTCCTGTGTATCTAATGCCTTCATCTATAATTAAAAGAATATACCACAACTGTCCAGGTAGACTGGCGAGAACACAGATTGTTGAGTAAAGTTACTGAAACGCTAGTGAGTCTTTCACTCAAAATTTCTCTTCTGATTAAACAAGCCAGCATTTATATAGCAGTGGGAGAGACATTCCCTGCGATGGTGGTGCTAGGGTTTCCAAAGATGAAGGTTCCCTCACTCCTGGAAAAGCACGTTTGTTCTTTATTAAAATGGGAGGAGGCCCCAGTGGTTTCCTGAGCCTGATATTTGAAATACAGTTTTCCTGCCTTCCCTCCTGGCAAATGCAAGAACACTGACAGATAGATACTGTGGCTTGCATTATCGCTGCTGGCCACTTGGATAAGCAGTTGCAGGAACCTTGGTCAGCTCTCACCCATCTGCAGGCCTGGACTCTGTGAGATTTCAATACGGAGTAAAGCACATGATTATCAAGATCAGTGGAGAGTCACCTCTCTCATAGGGGACCCATCCATAGGCTTCTTCTGTATGTCCTGTACCATAATTTCCTGTGTTCTTAATCACAATGTGAAAACTGGATAAGGTTAAGATAGGTATTCTTTAATTTTACTTAAATCTGATTCTCATTACATTCAGCATTATAAACCAGGAACTATGCATGATTGTTCTACAGATAAACTTATCTGTGGCTTGCATTTATATAGTAGGCAGTGAAATATTTATAAGTAATATTTGGCCTTGACAACAATTCTGTGAAGTAGATATTTTATTCCCGCACTGTCATGGAAGAAAATGAGTTAGTCTCCCCAAATTCTATAGTTCATGATTGGGTGAAGTGGGGCTCACACTCAGGAAGTGTTAAGTGTGTGTGTGTGTGTGTGTGTGTGTATACAGTGTGGTGCACACCACTTACCTGCATGTGTCTTTTTTTTACCAAGCATTTATTATGAGTATAATGGACTGTGTGATAGATTAAAAAAAAATAAAATACTAGGTCCCTTTTCTCAGGAAATTTGTAAACTGGTAAAAGAGGCAAAGATGTGTTAAGTAAGCCTGGGGGTGAATAATGCAGGAAGTTTCAAAAGTATTATATGAGAAGAAATTCAAAGGAATAGGGAAACAATAAATGCCACGTGTTCCTTTATATGGAAAGAGAAAAGAAGCTTTGGGGTGACAAAGTCAAACTAAGAGAAAACTACATTGGACAAGAGGTCAGAGCCTCTGAAAGAGAAACAAAGGAGGGAGGTACACTTCTGTTTTTCTTTAGCATTTTCCCAATTTGGAGGTGTGATTCTGGATTTGAGAAGCCTGTTGATTGGCTATATCAGTTCTTTCATTTTTATAATTTTTTGGTACCAGGGATTGAATTCAGGGGCACTCAACCACAGAGTCACATCCCCAGCCCTATTTTGTATTTTATTTAGAGACAAGGTCTCACTGAGTTGCTTAGCATCTCCCTTTTGCTGAGCCTGGCTTTGAGCTTGTGATCCACCTGCCTCAGCCTCCAGAGCTGCTGGGATTACAGGAGAGGGCCACCATATATCAGTTCTTTTAAAGCAGAAAGTTCGAGCTTTTTCTCCGATCTTGGAAAGATACCACCAGAGATTTCAGACTTATGGGAGTGCTGAAGGGCTGGCCCTGCTTTGGGATGTGTGAGCCCATTGCTTCAGCTCAAGAGCAGAAATAATGGACTTGGAGATGAGGGGACAGACAATGAGTTCGTCCCTCGCATATTTTTTGATTCCTCTTCTGTCCAGAAGTGAAAGTAGAAGAGCATCCACTTCTTTCTATGTGTGTGCGTTTTTGTACCTAAATCAGGTCAATAGCCATATTTATTCCAGAGGGGTACAATTAACCTAGAAGCTTTTTTATTGCAAAGTTTTTATAGAAATTATTGTTTAAATTGTTAAAATAAATGTGTGTTGCTTTTGTAATTCCAAAGCTGACATTTAAAAAAGGTTTTGCTGTATCCCATTGAATCAACTGAACTTCACCTTTTCAATAAACATGAATATGGGTCAGAGGAGTTCAACACCCATTCCTCTTTTAGAAAATTCTAGGTAGTATAAAAATAATAAGAGGAAAAGTGGATATAAGACATTGCTTGTCTGCTTAGCTCAGTTGGTTCAGAATTTGAATTACTGCTGACAGGGATAAGCTAATCCCAAGTGGCCCTTTAATTATCATGGGCTCCAAAACCTCAAGCCACCATCTGAGATTAGTCCCAGCAGCCTTTGACAAAGACATATTCTTGTTCTTAATGAGAATCAAGTGGCAAAAGTAGCTGGTTTAGTAAATCCAAATCCAGGGTGGAAAAGGAGCTCTCTGTACCCGGCATGGGAGGTCAGCAATCGCTTTAGGCATGAGGAAAACTGTTTCCTGCTGTGGCACAATTTATTGTTAGAATACTTCCCCAACAGGTAAAATGGTCACTTATTTTTATGTTTCTTTGCCACCAAAAGGTACTACTAGAGAAATTCTTGACCACCCTCAATTTTCACAGAATGGTCTTATGTAAGTGAAATTTTCAGTTTTATCTCTCAATCCATCCCTCAACATTCAAGACTGTAAAGACGTGGGTCTCCTCTCTTTTCCATTTTTATTAAAATATGACAGAAACTGGAAAAACATATTTGATCACAGAATGGAATGAAATCACCCTTATAAAGATGTAGTTTTTCCAATATTAGTCCATAAATTTAAAGCCATGCCAAATAGAGTGCTCAGAGGGCTTTGTATTTGGTAAATTAAAAAAGAAAAATTGAATCTAAAAAGCCTTTGGACAAAAAAAAAAAAAAGTCACACAAAAATATCCGGAGTCCTTCTAAAAAGAGCATTGTGTTTGGGTAGACATAAAATCATATTAAAATTCTACATAAATTAAAACACTTGAAGAGAAGGAAATCAACACTGCAAAGAGACTAAGTTATGAACATAGAAAAGTTTGAACATAAATGCTAACATTTGGATCTAAAAAGGACCCTCCCAAACTCCTGTGTTAATTCGGGAATGTTCAGCGGTGAAGTGATGATATTGTGGAAGCTGTGACTACACCAGGGGGATAGTCACTGGTGAGTTAGTAATTTAAATGGACCACTGGGTAAGAACCACAGGCAGGTGGCGGCTTGAGGGAGGAGGTCACTGTGAACATTGCTTGGGATTACATCTAACCCCCCCCCAACTCCTCTCTCTCTCTCTCTCTCTCTCTCTCTCTCCTGCTCGGCTGCTGTGAGCTGAACAGCTTTCCCCCTCCATGCTCTTCTGCCCTGATCTCTAACTGTCCTTAGGTCCAGGGAAACGCAGTCAGCCAACTGTGGACTAAACATCTGAATCTGGGGGTACAAAATGATTTTTGATCCTCTGGGTTGTTCTTTTTCAGGTATGCAGATCACAGCTATGAGAAGCAGACCCACACTGTATACCAAAGAGTTTTATTCCGTCATGAAGAAGAATGAAATTATGTAATTTGCAGGAAGATTGAGGCAAATGAAGACCATGATTTTGAGAGAGATAAGTCAGACTCAGAAAAGTGTTGAATGTTCTCTCTTCTATGTAAAAGCAAGAGAGGAAAAACAGGAACCAAAAGAGATTCCTTTGAAATAAGAAGGGAGACTATTAGGGGTGAGGAAAAGGGTCAGCAGGGGAGGGAGGAGGAAGGGGGAGGAAGGTATCGGGAAGTGAAACTGGTCAAATTAGGATTTTATGTATATACATATCTGCCACAATGAAAACCATCATTCTGTATAATTTCTATGCACTTTTGAAAAAGTGGAATGGGCTAGGCATTTTTCTATGTGATGCATCTATGGAAGATCAAACGTTAGTAGTTGCTTTTCCTCGTTTCAGTAGTTAATACACATATAAGTAAGACACTCATAGTTACACGGAGTTTGACAGACTTTGAATAAAATGTTTTACCTACGATTATTTTGCTTAAACTTTTCCAAGGAAGCTATCATTTTGTCACTATTGTCAATTGCTATTAAGAAGAAGGCTTTGGGACCTGCCAGAGAAGAATTTATACTAGAGAATTTCTTTTTCTAAAAATATGTGGAGACATTTCTAGTCTGAGGGATATAATATAGTCTGTGGCTTTAGAATAAGAATACAAGGGTCATTTGCTGAGAAACCTGGGGGCTGTGCTCTCTCTCGGGTCTCGCCTCCCACATTCTCATCTGTCACCTGTGGACATAGGACTAGGAAGGTGAGTTTTTCTGGGAGGGAGTAGGAGGTGTCTAGGGGCCTTAAACAGCACTGTTCTTGTCTGTGCCGACCTGCACCAATGTTGCCCTAGATCCAGGCAGTTGCAGGACCAAGGCCTGGGGACCCAGAAGATAGGTTATAGAGAAGACGCAGGATGAAGGGGGGAGAAGCCTCAGGGACATAGAGCCAGGGATGACTACAGAGCAGATATGCCTACAAAGGGGACTTGCACAGTTTATCTATTTGATTTCTCTTCCTGCCATCTACAAGCCAAGTGGGCACTGCAGATAATTCTCCTTAGCTTTTGTCTATTAGAAAGTAAAAACCAGAAAGAGAAACTCATGCCCATGGCTAAGATCCTCTGGCCTTTTTGTTGGCTTGCTTTTTGGGCAGTTCCAAGGCATTTGGCATATATTGATTTACTCTAGTGGGACACTGCGAGAATACAGGAACTGTGGGAAGGATGAGAAGGGAGTTTTTGATTTTCTTTTTACAGTAGTTATTGTCTCACAATAGGTAGCAGTTATTTCTTAACCTCCTCCACCCTCTGAGTGTCTCAGTCTGGGTGGGGATGATCATCAAACCTATATTGATGGTCAAGAATGAAAAACAATGCTTAAGAACATGGAGGAGACAAAGAAGGTGAACGTATCCACTGCAGCACTGTATCTCCCCCTCAGGGAACTCAACAACAAGTTGAAGTCTTTTGGAATTTATTTTAATTTATAAAGTCAACAGGAATCTATGATCTAGTCCTTGTTGGTGTGGGGCAACTGATTGGGGAACAATATTTAATATACAAAATGCCAAAAAAGCCCCAATTTTGAAAACTGTGCAGACTTACTACTACTGGAATTAAGAATCATGCAAAGCCCTGTGATTTACAGATGAGCAGAGTAGCTTCCTAATTGAAAAGCAGAGACCCCACAGCACTTCTAGGTCCGCTCTTTCTTGCTTCCTCCCCTTTGAATCAGGTGGAAATGAGGAAACTGTATGGGAGCATTATGCAAGCACCAGGGCATGCCCAGCATCAACTGCTCATTAGGTTTCATGTTTCCCCCATGAGAAACTTAAAAACCTGATCATTCTAATTGTACTGAATTTCATTAAACCTTGCTTTTTATCCTTGATTTTCAAATATCAAAATGTAAGACTTGACATACGTTTTACATTTTAAAATGCATACTTATGTACATGCATTAAATACACACTGAGAGATCAAAGACTGCAATGTGCAGGGCGGTCCTATTTCCAAACCCAGACCCAGATTCTAGGCTTTGTGGACCGAGTTCAGAACAGGAGAGATTGAGACAAATTTTTAAAGCTACAATGTCATAGACTGTTCATATTAGGAGAACAAGGTCTCTGAGCACTGGTGATTAGCTAGCCATCTTTGGGTTTATGGTCCAATAGGTAGTGGTTGGCTACGGATGGTCTGCTGTGGTCACAGGGATCCTACCTGGAGTTGTGGTGGCCAGAAGCCTGGATTGCATTTGTGTTTGCCTTAGTCAAGATTAGGGGGCCCATCAGGCCTGCATGTGGTGTCATCTGGCTCAGTGACCAGGCAAGGGTCATCAGTGCTGATCATGTGGAGTGTCTTGCTCTAAGAGCTTTGCACGTATTTATTGATTTACCACTAATTAAATCAATGAAATTGTCACACACTTATTTATCCCCTCCCCCTTCTTATTTTGGTGCTGGGGATGAAAGCAGGGCCTCTTACCTACTAGGCAAGCACTCTACCTCTGAGCTACACCCTCAGTTCCTGAATTGTTAAGTATATTAATTTTTATTTTACAGATTAGAAACTGAAGGCACAGAAAGATTCAGAAGTTTGCCCAGGTTCTCAACATTGGTAAGGAGAGGACCTGGATTGGCACCCAGGCGGTCTGGCTACAGACTATGGGCTGCCTACCAATGAGAACAATGATTTAGATTTCTAACATTCATGTGGCGTATTTATTCTTTTTTGGGTGGTGGATACTGGGGATGGAACTCAGGGGCACTGGACTGCTGAGCAACATTCCTGCCCTGTTTTGTATTTTAGTTAGAGACAGGGCTTCACTGAGTTGCTTAGCACCTCATTTTTTGCTGAAGCTGGCTTTGAACTCGAAATCCTCCTGCCTCAGCCTCCCGAGCCGCTGAGATTACAGGGGCACGCAGCTGCACCCTGTGGCATATTTATTCTTTATTATATTGGGAGGAAAAAAAGAAGAAAAGGTTGTTTTTTTAAAAGAAAGGAAATGAACATTCTTTGATGCTTGGCTGGGAGATTTCTCTTCCCTTTCCTTCTTTCCCTCCTTACTCCACACATACGTCTACATTTTTTTTTTATTCTTTTTCCTAGATTGGTTATCCATGGCAAACCATAAAAGGTGATATTTTAAAAAGGTAAAGTTTTAGTACTGAAGAGATTGCTTCTCTGGTTACATTTCCAGTTATTATTACTTCAGAGATCCTCGAGAGCCATTAGCCCACCTCACAGTGAAAAGCAAGAAGAAAACACACAACTGTCCATTAGTGGCCAGAGTGATTTTCAATATTCAGATGCAGCAGAGACCCGGTGGCAGATGGAAGAGCTTCAGGCAACAGTTGCTATACACGTTCTCCTATCCACACCTCCATCTGTCAGCACAAGTGTGTTACTATTTTGGGACTCAATTTATCCATTTGGAGAACAATTTTCAGGCTTGTTCTTAAGGTTAAAATGAAATAAATTAAATCTGTAACTCACCAGGATTTTACCTTTTGTCACTGGGAGGAAAACAACTGAGATAGGGAGAGAATTCTACACTTCGCGGGAGGGTAAGATGTGCTTGGAGAGGGGGTGATCAAATATTAAAATTTGGCGTTAACGCAAAAATAAAAGGAGAACTGAGATCATGCTTTCATCATGTGTGTATGTGGGCAATCACATGCATGCTGTATGCAGGGAACATGCTGCCTCAGAACTGTGTTCTGGTAATAACCCTTAAAATATAGTCTGATAATAGAAAAGTGCAAATTCAAAACAGAAATGTTCATTCTTGCCACATCTCGAGAGAATTGTGAAACTAATACTCAAATTTAAATGGAAAAGTCTCAGAATTGAATGCTGAGCCAAATGAATTTCTTTCTTTCACAAATAGTCTAGAGGTTAGATCCACCATGGTCTTCTCTTAGTAAAATATGAACAAAATAATATTTTGTCTCTACTCTGGTTGTCTATAGGGAGGAGGAAGGAATTTCAAAGCCCTGTGCTCTGCTCAAGCTAACAGCAACCTAAAAGTTGCCTCATTTCTGCCTCAAAAATCTCTAGTGCTGGTGCTGGGGTTGTGGCTCAGCGGTAGAGCACACCCCTCACTTGTATGCGGCACTGGGTTCAATTCTCAGCGCCACATAAAAAATAAATATATATTTTAAAAAAATCTCCAGTGCACTTCCTTGTTTGAATTAACAAAGAAAATAAATACCTGCCTTTAAAGAAAGTAATCCAGACATAATTAGACCTTAGGGCAGGCCACAGTGATGCTCCTGGAAGATGTCTTGACACCAGCAGTTCTAACCACAGGACCTTCAGCAATGGGTTCTCCAAAGGTAAATGAATCTACCCTTGTTCTCCAGGAATATCTTATTCTTTTCTAGACATTTTTTTGCATATGTCTCATTAAAATTGCCCTGTCCTCTCTGCTACTTAGAGTGTTCAATTTCTTTCTCTATTAAATGATGTCAGATTTCTCTACTCTACATAGTTCTCTTCCTTCTTTCTACTTCTCAGTAGCAGGAGGTTCAGGGGTGAGTCAGGAACTCCTACTGCAGTCATTTCCTGTGCCAGCTGAGCAAGAAGAAACTGAGGTGGGGTTTGGGGTACAGAATATGGGGGTATATTTGTGATAGAAAAGGGGAGGGAGCAAAACAGGGCAGGAAGGCTCCAGGTTGTAATGTGGACACCTGTGAAGGGAGAAGAACAGGGGGCAGAGGTGGGCAAGCAGACTCTTAGGTTGTGAGGTAGATCTCACAATCAGTTGGGGGCAGAGAAAGAGGAAACCCAGGACCACAATTGCCTCTTAGAGGAGGCTCAGGCTGGGCAGAAGAGGTCAGGCACTAGAAGTCTTGCTTGCTGGGCTCAGTCCTGGACTAGTAATTGCCTAGAAAGAGCATGGCCTTTGCCCCAAAGCATAGTGGCTGAAGAAGTTTCTCTAGTCAGAAACTGTCTGCTAAAAGCCCATCTCATAAGTTCTTTCTTGAAGGGCGATTCTAAAGGCACACCTCCTGGATGTCACCCGTGTCACCTGCTGATTGTGGTTTTGCACTATCATTTATGTCTTTGGAGGCTGCTCAACTTTCTGGGTGTGGTAGGTCGAATCATGACCTCTCCCTGTAGAGTCCACATTGTCCTCAGAAGAGAAGGTGCAAATCAATTAGAGGAATTTTGTAGATGTCAGCTGAGAGTACTGAGAGAGGGTGATTATCCTGGAATTATGTGATTGTCTCCAGTCTAATCACTAGGGTCCTCCCAAGAGGGAGACAGCAGAGATAGAATCAGAATTGGAAATGTCACCATAGAAGCAGAGGGGGAGTGATCAGAGAGAGAAGTCATGAGCCTGGGAATGTTGGTGGCATTGGCAAGCTGGTAAAAGCAAAGAAATGGATTCTCCTGTGAAATCTCTAGGAGGATCACAGCTTGATGACACTCTAATTTTAAGACTTCTGACCTCCCAAACTGCAAGATAATAAGTTTATGATTTTTTAAAGCCATCAGGTTTATTGTAACCTAATACAGCATTAATAGTAAACACACTGTCTATTAATAGGAAACGAATACACCACTATCCTTTACCCATTTGGATTGGTGGAAACCACAATTTACTTGTTCATTCAACAAAGACATTTTGAAGGCATATTTTTGTACCAGGCAATGTGTACTGAGGACCATATAGTGCATTTGATGAGGTTTTTGCCACTGTGAAGCTACTATTATACAGGGAGACTAGTAACATAAGTTCATCCTCTGAATAGGAGATATTAGAATAGATTCCCAGGGACTGGGGTTGTGGCTCAGTGGCAGAGTGCTTGCCTAGCATGTGTGAGCTACCATGTGTATTAAATGTCGTAAACAGATTAAGGAACTAGAGAAAAAAAATTCTTCAAATATCACAGTTTTGTTCTCTCAACATATAAGTATGCATATGAACAAATGGCATCTCTAAGATCTTTTTATAATGAACTCAAAACTTAAATTTTTATCAGTTATATGTACATGTTGTTACCTTCACCTCACAACTGATATACAATGACACAAATTTTGAAGGTTTATTGAAATAGAGAAAGAATAACAATTATGCCACAGAATTTTAGCATTGAGATTGACTTCAGAAAACATTTATTTTAATGACACACAGTTTGAGCATTTTCTAGGCTTCTGGGAAGTCAAATGGCTAACTGCTATCTGGACACATTTTATAACAATGTGTGGACTTTTCTATAAGGGCTGTCAGTCCTATTATTAGTTTGACCTACATACAAATATTTTACTTATAATTGCTCAAAGCTTCTGACCACTAGTCCTATTTTTATTTTTTCAAATGTCATAGAATAATATCAGTATCTATTTCAGAATACTAAATTTTGGAAATAGATATCATTCTATATTTTCTCATCCACAGTCATACTTTCCTAAACCACAGTTTGTTTTATATACTATCTTGTTTGTCTCCTTTGGCTGTTTTCTGGTTTGCTAATTTCCATAAAGTGGGGCTACAATGTGAAACAATGCTTCAAGCTCTGGATCTTTCCATTGTTAGTGTTCTTTTCTTTAGCTTTACATCTATAAGGCTTAGGACCAAAACATGCAACCTCCTTGTGACAATTTAATGGAACCTTCTAGTATGTATGATTGTGCATGTGCGTGAATGCTTAGGGCCACCAGGTCTGTTGATGAGATGTCTCTATTTTTGTCAGTAACTCAATGCGGTATAATTCCACGTTCAGGCAGTTTTGTTTGATTAGGGCTTAATGGAATATCTTTTTTCCATTCTTTGATTTTTAGCCATTCCATGAAGTCTTGGGATGACTCTTAATATATGTTTTTTTTTTTAAATTTTCAAATCCGTACTGGTAACTATATCATTTAATTGGAGTCCTAACACCATCCACGTGGGGTTATTGACTTTAATTTACAACTTATTTATTTTCTACCTACCTGTCTGTTCTTTGATCATTGTCCTTTGTTCAGTTTCTCCCCATTTCTTGCTTTCTTAGGAGTAATCAAACTGTATTGTTATTCTCTTTTATCTCCTGTGTTTGCTTATTAGTTATACTTTTTTATGATTTTTAGTGATTATTATAGAAATAACAAGTTCATCCTAATGTATTTCTGTCTACTTTAAATCAGTACCTTAGCACTTAAAACTGCAAGAAACTCAAAACTGCTATATCCACTAACACCCCCTGCCTGTTCCTCCTTGCCATTGTTACCATATATTTGATTTTTTATGTGTTCCATCTCAAGATGTAATAAAGATAATTATTTAATTATTCAATCTAATATTTCAAATCATTAATTGTTATTCACATGTAGATGCTCTTCATTCCTTGCAAAAATGTCATGTTTCCAAATGGGATAATTTTCCTTCAGCCCCCAAACACACACACACACACACCACACACACTCTCTCTCTCTCTCTCTCTTTACATAAGGATTGAACCCAGAAGCACTTAACCACTGAACCACATCCCCACCCTTTTTTGTGTTTTACTTAGAGACAGGGTCTCACCAATTTGCTCAGGGCCATGCTGAGTTGCTGAGGTTGGCTTTGAACTTGTGATCCTCCTGCCTCAGCCTGCCAAGCCACTGGGATTACAGGTGTGCACCACCATGCTCAACTTCTTTAATATTTATTGTAATGCATATCTAAAGAATAAACTATACCACCGTTCCTTGTCTTGCCTTAAACTTTTGTGAAGGATGTATTCATTGGGTGTGGTGTTATTCATTGGTAGATCCTTTCCTCCTTCCTAGCACTTTAAAAACACTTTTTTTTTTTTTTTGGCTTCCAGCATTTCTGTTGAAAAACTCATTCATCTCTCTCACTGTACCCTCTGTGCCTGACTTTCATGCCCCTTCACAGATATTTTGAAGATTTTTCTATTTGTAACAATTTTCAGCTACTAAACTATATTTTCTTAGAATTTGCCAAATTTCTAGAATTTTTGTGTTGCTACCAGAGTTCAGAATTTTTCAGGCATAAGATATTCAAATATTTCTTCTTTTCAACCTCTCCTTTTCTTTTGAGACTCCAATTATGTGACTGATAGATCTGTTGGTTGATTCTTTACGAGCACAGCATGATACTGCTTTCAGGGACAGGCAGTCATTTTTACATCTCCAGAGAGTAGCCACTTAGTGTTTACCATTGAATGACAATGGCACCATTGACATTTACTTTTCCTTTCAAGTAATAGCTGCTTTCAATATGAGGTAATAGCAGAGAACAAGATTCTAGTCCTGTGCCTCGATTATGAGCATCTCTGTGTGACCATCCCACCCCTGGGATTGATTGCACTGCAAGTACCTCAACACAGTCCTCCCTTTATTATCCTCAGGCAGTAGCCATTCCAAAGAACAATGACCAAAGAACCACCTTCATGCCCAGGTCCATCTGTTTCTTATGATACATTTTCAAATCTCTTTTATATTCTGTTCATTATGATCATTGTTATTTTCACTGCTACTGACTTGGGCTATTTTCTATT